GACAATAGTTCTTTTATAGAATATTTCATTAGCTTTTATTTTCTATGAACTATAATAAAATATTGTTAATCAAGCAAGGAATGGTACTCATTGTCTACGAGTATTATAATAGCAGCATATGCGCAGCCGAATACAGCTATTACATAATATTAAAAATTAGTCACAATGAGAAAATGCTGTTTTGTATAGTAACCTCAAAAAAAAAAGATATTAAAGCTTCTTTATTTGGGAATATTAATATAGAGGATGTCACATAAATCTCTAGAAAAGCATATTTCAGAAACCGGATATTTTAAAATTTAACCTAATTAAAAGTCATTCGGTCGCTAAGGATGGGCGATTATCGAAATAAATTATCAATCATTGAAAATAATTGATTATTTTCGATCAATCGATTATTTTCAAACCAACTATTTTTTTCCTATTTCCTTTAAAATCGATCATTCAATTATTACTTTTGAAAAATCGAAAATAATCGATTAATTAAAAACCGAATAACCTATAAATCGGTGTTTCCAAAAAATAATAAACGAATTATCGAATATTTTAAATAATCTATTTTTTTTCGTATTTCCTTCGAAATAGATTATTCGATAATCATTGAAAAATTGAAAATAAACAATTACAAAAATAATTTATTAACTCTTAATCAAAAATAATCGATTATGAAGCCAAATCTACGATAAATCGATTTTCAAAAAAAAAAATAACCGAATTATCGATTATTTCCAAATAATCAATTTTTTTCGTATTTCGTTTAAAATTGATTATTCGATCTATGAAAAATCGAAAATAACAAATTAAAAAAGGCGATTAAACAATAAATTGATTTTTCAATAAATCTATTTTCTTTTGTATTTCCTTTAAAATGAATTATTCCATTATCTTTAAAAAATCGAAAATATTCGATTGATTAAAAACTGATTAAGCTATAAATCGATGTTTTCAAAAATAAACAAATTAGCGATTTTTTTATATAATCTATTTTTGTTCGTATTTCCTTTGAAATAGATTATTCGATAATCTTTGAAAAATCGAAAATAATCGATTAATTAAAAATCGATTAATCAAAAATAATTTATTTATTAAAAAGCCGATTAACTCCTTAAATAATCGATTATTATCAAATAATTTTTTTCGTATATCCTTTAAAATCGATTATTCTATTATCTTTGAATAAAAAACATAATCGGTTAATTAAGATGCCGATTCTACGATAAATCGATTTTGAAAAAAAAAAACCTAATTATCGAATATTTTCAATTCTATTTTATTTGTTATTTCCTTTAAAATTGATTTATCGATAATCTTTGAAAAATCGAAAAAATAATCGATTAATCAAAAATTATTTATTTATTAAAAAGCCGATTAACCTTTAAATCAATTTTTCAAAAAAAAAATCGATTAATTAAGAAGCAGATTCTATTTTCAAAAAAAAAAAAAAAATATCGATTATTTTCAAATAATCTATTTTGTCTGGTTTTTTCTGTAAAATTGATTAAGTATTCGATTGTCTGCTAAAAATCGAAAATAATCGAAAAATCGAAAATAATTGATAAATCGAAAATAATCTTTTAATAAAAAAGAGGATTGACCGATAGATTGATAATTCTAAAAAATAACCGAAATATCGATTATATAAAATAATCGATTATATTCAATCAATCGATTATTTTCAAATCTATTTTTTTTGTATTTCTTTTAAAATAAATTATTCAAATACCTTTGAAATATCGAATATAATCGATTGATTAAAAAGGCGATTAAACGATAAATCGATTTTTCAATAAATCTATTTTCTTTTTGCATTTCCTTTAAAATCTATTATTCCATTATCTTTTAAAAAACGAAAATAATTTATTGAAAATATTCGATTAATTATAACGGGTAATCAATTTTCCTAAAAAAAAAAATAACAAAATAATCGATTATTTTTTAACCTCTATCGGTCGTTTGCTTTTATCCGTGCCAATTTAGAAATTCGCATTTGTTTGATCCCCTTATCCTTAAAACCGCATTCCAATGTATAATAAATATTGTAAGAATTTAGATTTTTTAGTAAACAAATTTTTTTTTTTTTCGAGTTGTTTAGGGGTTTATAATGAAACATTTTATTAACAATGTGACTAACTCCCGTAACTTTAGTATTTTTTTTTGCTTATACTAGATCTTATTGTGTTTTAATTTGTTTTAAGACTTAAGATTCAAATGTCACATCCGATTTGACCGCAAATAAAATGAACTTTGAAATTTTAAGTAGGTTATCCTGTAATTTATCTAATATTCTTATAAAAATACCTCATAAAAATAAAATTTCGTAAGCAACTATGCTTCTTTACTTCTTATTTATCTACCAAACAGAGCTAAAAACCACCTTTAGTAAATATTCTTTTAAAACTACTTTTTTAAAACAAAATTTCGTTATCAATAATGCCTTTTTTCTTCTTATTTACATTAAATGTTCAAAATTTTGCCTTTTAGTAAATTTATGTAAGTACTATGAAATCTGTTTTCTGAAATATTTCATGCTTAATATTTATTAAAACCCCTTAATGCGGATCTGAAGTATTCTGCTCAAAGGATCATGGAGGCTTTATGTCAAAACGTTAATAAATATTTACCGGTGAAAGCGATTATATTTCTTATTTTTCATAACATTGACACTTATATTATTTGTATAAACAATTTTTCACGATACATCGTAGCATTTTCAATTGAATAACTATAACACTTTAAATTGTTAGTAACACCAACAAATAATTTAAAAAACGACGGTCCATGATGATTCACTCACGCGGAGATGAGCGTAGAATGGAAATGTCGGAACAATTCGGGTGGCGTCGTGAAAACAATTTTTAATTGGTGGGTTACTTAAGGTTGGAATAGACAACATCCGCTATGTGGAATGTTACATTTCCAGTCTCTTTAATTTAAGGTTAAATCGTATTAGACATTTTAGTTTAAGTGAACTTGTGTGTCAAACAACCAGTCAAAAGGGGCGAAAAAGTCAAATCGCTACTCCTATTTAAAAATCTAGTACCTATAGTTCAACATATTTAAAAACAAAAACATATTCAAAATAGCATAACAAGAAACGATTGTAAATTATCCAGACCACCTTGTAGACTACAGACACGGGTGTGAGTTACTGCCACCTCGAAACCAGTCTCGACCCAACAACACCAACACCATCCTACAAAGAAGCAACAATAAAAACCAAACCAAATCGGCCCACTCCTTCGGGTGCACTTGGTCCACGCTCGGTGAAGAGTGCATTAAACCAAAAACCAGACCCACCCTCGCAACATGCAAATACCGTTCTTCGACTTGTGTACATTTCGTAGACACAATCATACCCAAATCGTCGACGACATCGTCACAGCGCGCTTCCATCAGGTCTTCGAATTATATCGCAATTCGTTCGAGACCGTGGACGTCGTCGCCGTAGGAATAGTTACTCGAATGGTTTTGCGGTAATAAAATATTTAACGAAATTTTGAACGCATTCTCCGTGAATTTTTTTTTTTTTTGAATACTGGATATTGTTAATAAATCGCTATTTTTCGCGAGTGAGTGGACGTCGTCTTCGAGGAGAAGGGTCCCCGGGTGCCGGATTTGGCCTCCAGGTTGAACATCGGGTAGCGCAAGATATTACGAGGTATCGACGATGTCTTGTCTATGTAGCGGTGCTGATACCGGTGGATGATGTGACTGTTTTCTTGTTTCTTTGATTTGCAATATTAGTTACGGAAATATGAGAGAAATTATTGGAATATGGGTAAATATTGTTTTGATTGTATAATGTTTAAAACAATTGTTACACTTATTCTTTATGCTACGCTACTGGTTTCGGGCCCCTTTGTCTCCCTCAATTTTATCGACACTCGATTAAATGTCTAAATGTTTATATTTACATTTTTTGATGAACATAATTTATTTTATTTAGCCATCACCGAAGGAATAAATACAGGTGATTTTACATAACATAATCTTCTATTACATCAATTTTTATATAAATTTTGGACGACATCTTCGTGGACACTTGTCATAACGCTCGTTGGAGATCAATAGATTTTTTTGTGATTAGTAGTCAAAAACTCGCGAAATTTCGTAGAGCGGGTAGACGTTGTCTCCAGAGAGCCTGGTCCTCCAGGTCCCAGATTTGTCCTTCAGGTCAGGCAAGATATTACGATATTATAATAAAGTAATCTTCTATTACGTCGATTTTTTAAATTTTTTTTTATAATGATCGTTCTGGATGTCATTAGACTGCTTTTGTGATTTGTAGTCAAAAAATAGCAAAATCTCGCGATTGAGTGGACGTCATCTTCGAGATTCTGGTAGTCCAGGTGCCGGATTTGACCCACAGGTCGAGAATCGGGTCGCGGTTTCGACGATGTCTTGTATTATCGGTGCTCCCACCAATTAATAATGTAATAGTTTTCTTTGTTCCTTTTATTTTCAATATTAATTACGGATATGAGAGAATATGGGTAAATATAGTGTTATTTGATTGTATAAATTGTTACATCGACCCTTTAAACTACAGCACTAGTTACGGACCCCTTTTCATCCCCTGTCGAAATTTTTACATTTTTGATATACAGAACTCATTTTATTTAATCATCGCCAAAGAAATAGTTACTTAGATGATTTTCATAGTAATTTTGGACAACATCTCCGTGGGAATTTTTGGATAACACTCGGCCTGGATGTTAATAGACTGTTTTTATGATTTGCAGTCAAACAAATGCGAAATTTCGTAAGCGAATGGACGTCGTCTCCAGAGAACCTGGTCCTCCAGGGGCCGGATTTGGCCCCCAGGTCGAACACCGGCTGGCGCGACGTGTTACGACATTGAAATAAGCTGTTTTGAAAAAAATCAGCCGGGCTGTTGGGCATTTCCTAGCCCCAGCGAAGAATGAGAGAGAGAGAGAGACTGACTAAAAAACCTTGAAAGAGAATTGTATAATCGTGAAATGAAGCAGATTCGGTGATTATTTTTGTTGTCGCGACGATGTCTTGTGCATGTTGTGGTACTGATACTGGTGCATAATGTGATTTGTTCTATTTTTGGTTCCTCTTTTATATATTAGTTTTTGAAATATGAGAGAAATTATTGGAATATGGGTAAATATATTTTTTATTTGTTCAATATTTTTCGTCTATTTGAAACAAAATTTATAAAAACACAAATTATAAATTAAAAATAATAATAATAATAATAATAATATTATTAATAATTTAAAAAAAAAATAAAGACATTAATATTAGATTATTTATATTTGTTTTGTCTTTAGTAGTTATGTAGGGGAAAATATTACATAAGTACTATTAGATTTGGGCAGTATTTCACAGACTTACATTATTATATTAATCTTGCTAAACTCTATTGATTTCTTAAATGTTTTCTAGAAAAGAAGTTAATATAACATCATTTATTTGTATTTTACTAGTCACATCAACAATTCAAAGTGCGATTGAAAAATCTTACCATGCCATCGTTCAACTCTGTTTTCTTTATATTTAAAGTTTCATAAGTACTTAAAAATTGCACTACTCAACAATTGAACTAGACAATTCTAATTGACTAAAAATGATAAAATAAATTTCAAAATTTTAAAATAATCTCACAATGTACTATCTATCTGCAGCTGAAACTTTCAGACTCCAACAACTACCCCAAATAATACAACTGGCTCATGAGTTGCAAAAGTTGGGGAAACCATCCCTCAGCATTGTATCAAATAAAGTAAAAGCATTAAGAAAGACAAGCTGATGTGGTGCTCACACGTTATTATTTTTTTGTAACCATGTCAATTTCTCAATAAAATAATTTCATAAATTACTTTTTCACTCCAATCTTATTTTTATATTACTTATTTTTTCCATTAAAGATTAGTTTTTTGCCTTTGGTTACACAATTAATGTATCATTTTATTACATTTCCTTGCAATTTTTTATTTCAAATATTTAGACTTTAAAATTTAGTATATATTATAATAATAATAATAATAATAATAAATCGTCTTTATTATTTTTAAATACCGGGTGTTTAAATTAAAGTGTTACAGTTAAATACCGCCGAAAATATACATTTAATAAAAAAAAGTTTCAGACAAAAGTTTTATAGTTTTTTGGGGGAAACAGTTTGGCGAAATTCATTTTTTTATAGCTGACCATAATATGGCCGTATCGAGGTGGACTTTTTTATTTCAAATGGGAACCCCATTTTATTTTTACATATTCTTAAAGTTCATAAAAAAATAAGAAACTTTTAAAGAAAAAATTTTTTTATTGGACTTTTACTTATTGAGTAACACCTACTTAAAAATTGTGCTGCGCGAAAAAAAAGTTGCCCATATTATGGTTAGCTATAAAAAATGATTTTAGCCGAAATGTTTACCCCAAAAAAATATAAAACTTTCGTCTGAAACGTTTTTTTATATAAAAAAATTATTTAACTGTAACACTTTAATTTAAACACCCGGTATATACACAGTAAAAATTACAATAACGAGTGCTGATATAGGTAATCTTTTATCTGACTTTCCATGGCCTTTTCTAATATTTTTGATAAAGTAGGCAAAATACTTTTTGCGCGTAAAATTTAAAACTTTCTGGGCTTGGCTTTTTTGTCAGAACCTTTATAACTGCTCTCCTCCACATTGCAGGATAGACATTTTCAGTAATACAGAAATTTAGCATATGGGTCATGTAGAGTACTATATGAGGGCAGCAAATTTTAATCAGTTTTATATTCAGTCCATCACACCCCTTGGCATTAGTTTCGAAATCACAGATCATCTTAAACACGAAAAGGTCATTTACTTCTCTAAAATTAAAATTAGAATCAATAATTTTAGGTGGTTCGATTATTGGAATAGATTCAATAAAGTAAGGATTAATTTAATTTGGTTTCACTAGGTCTTCAGGTATATTTTGGTTTTTACTTGGAATAAACTTAATTGTTTTTAAAGGTCGCCACATCTCTGTAGAAGAACTATTATTAAATTGATGTAAAAATAGGACCTTTTTTCCCTTTTAATAGAATGACTAGTGAAATTGCGTAGTTCTCTGTAAGCCTGTAAATGCACATAAGATCTAGTTCGCCTATACTTTCTTAGCGCCTTATCTCTTTCCTAAATCATTAATTTTATCGGATAAGTTAGCCACGGAGCTTTACATTTAGTCACCCTCGATGTTGTGATAGGAGCATGTCTGTCAAATAGATCATTTAAGCAGTTAATTAAATATGAAACTTTCTCGTCAACTGTTTCTTGATCATAAATTCTGAAAAAGGAAGTACTGAAAAGATCACGCTGAAAAATATATTCGTCGAAATGTTTAAAATTTCTATAAGTTACCATTTTAGGCGCGAACTGCTCAGTACTTACTCTAATTTTACAAAAAACTAAAGAGTGATCAGAAATTGCATCATGTATTACTCTTTCCAACAGGAGTTCCTTCTTGAACTATCACGTAATCAAGAAGAGTAGCTGATGTTGCTGTAATTCTTGTAGGCTCGTCTATTAATTAACAAAGATTAAGCGTTTCTAAAAGTGAATAAAATCTTGATACAGTTATATTACTAAAATTCAACAAATTTAAATTAAAATCCCCCATACATACTATATCATCAACAATTGGCAAAATAGAGATAAGACTGTCTTCAAATTCATGTATAAAAGAGATAGTATTTTGCTCATGAGGCTTAGAGGGAAAGCCCACTCACGCGACATGTCGCGCGAGACCTGCCGCATGCGACTTTTTAGGTGCGATTTTTAACAGACGACAAGCAGCGACACAGACGTTCAGTATCAAAATAGAGGTGGAAGAAGTAGTAACGGTGTTGTTTTATTTTGTTCGTCGGCCGAAAAAATTGACACGACGTAGGTACTGGGTTCATCCATTATTTATAGACCCTTATGTAAAAGGCGCATTTAATGTATTACATAAGGATTTACGTCAACACGAAGATAAGTTCTTCAAATATTTCAGAATGAGAGTAGTGTCATTTGACGAACTGCCAGCGCAAATTCCCGAACAAAATTTTTTTCGCTATTTTATTTCAATTAGCTGTTCGATATTTGAGGTCGGTCTTGAATATCGGATATAAATTCATCTATATTAATACAACTGTCGGACATTTTTTCACTGGAACTGTCGAAAAGTTAACAGGAAACTCCAACTCTCAACTGGCGTTTCGCACGCGACTTGACGTTTGTATGAGTGATGCTCCATATCAATCCATGATAAAGCTGGCCGCGTGCGGCAGGAAAATCGCGGGATTGTCATTTTTAATTTTCAGCCGCGTGCGACCACGCGACAGAACCGCGTTAATGGGCTTTGAGTCATTTAAAAACATCTAAAGTATTGCCGCCCGCGATGCCTCGCTATCAGTCGCGCGCGACGTGTCGCATGAGTGAGCTTTCCTTCTTATATATAGCCCCCACTGCCAATACTTTTTTAATAACCAATTTTATCAACAGTTGTTCCCAAATACAGTTTTGTCTACTAACCATTACCTCGTAGCGAAGTCCGCGTCTAATATACATGCATAAACCCTTTCCTCTAGCATTTCTATCAGCTCTAAGTAAGTTATAATCTTCAATATTTAGTGCAGGATCACTAATAGAATCTTTTAACCAAAACTCGCAAATTAAAAATATATCAACATTATTTTCTCTGATTATATCATTTACATCATGAACAGAAGGTGGTAAAGATCTAACATTTGCACCACCAATTTTTAAATATTTTATTTATACTATTAAATCTGTATTCAATATAAAATAAATACTCAATAATAAATTAAAAACTCTTTTTAAATCTACCAGAACGAAAAATCAACTTTATTTACTAGCGATAAGAAAAAATAGTATATTACACACCGAGGTGAGAAGAGTTTCATTCCTGTCGTGAGATTAGTTAGATCACCGAGATGCGAAGCGTCGAGGTTAGCTATAATCTCGAGACAGGAATGAAACTTCCTACCGAGGTTTGTATACTATTTTATTTACAACCATCATATTTCGATCAAAGTTAATAAATCTCTGTTTCGTTCTGAACATACCTAAAATATTACATTTAACGACAAATTACCAAACGCGCGGTTTTCTCAGAATAATCAAGTAAATAAATTGTTACTGTGATTACGGGGTAAACAACTGTCACCAATATAAATACATGTCAGATAAAGCCGGATATTAAATTCGCGAACAATAAATATCAATATGTAGTTTGTTGTATTTTAGTTCATTGTTGTTTTTTATTGTTTGCCATTAAATAGGTATTATAAAATTTGTCAAAAAAAATGTGTTATTTTTTTTAAATATAAAAAATATTCATCTAGAATAGATGAAATGAGGGCGGGAAGTGAGGGCGGGAAGTAGAGGTGTGTAATGTGACACTTCCCAACATTCAATGACGTTAGTAATGACAACATTACATATATGGTTGTAAATAAAAAATATAAAACATCTGAGAGGTGCGACACAATTGCACATGTACTGCGAAAAATAATCTAAATAAATAAATTATTTTAACCTGCACAAATTAAACAATAATTCAAAAAGTTTTAATTTATAACTATTCACATAACTAAATATAAATTGTTTTTCAACAAGAAAACAAAAAATAATAGTTTGTATTAATTAAAAAGTTCAGTATCTTTCAATTAATTGATTTTGATAATTTGTTCTTTATCATTGAGTTTTAGAAAAATATTCTCTGACATTGTCCACAGTTTTCCTCTTTTTCGCACCTTCTTAAGAGTCTCTTTTATTATATTTTGTTGTTCTTTAGACAAATCTTCTTTAATTACAATTTTGGTTTGTTTTAAAATTTTTTTTTTAAAACTAAATATTTATAAAATTTTACAGAAAATTTTACTATCACTGGTCTATCTTTATTGCCTACTTTTCTTCCTAATTTCAGTGGTTGAGCAGTGTATTAAAAATGCGGATGATAATATTTTATTTACTGTGAAAGTTATGAAATAAAATCTTTATAATTACGTAGGTATTTTGAATTCAGATTCTAATTATTTTGACATGGGACTTAAAAGTTACATCAAGCACGAAGAACGATCGCGATATCATTAATAATTATCTTTTGATTAGAGATTC